TCTGAGATACAGACATCGAAAACTTGCCTTTACCAAGCAGAGCTCCTACCCAGCAAGTTATGTGGTGTCCGCACTGTGGAGATTTCGGCATTGCCGCAGTTTTCCACAGTGCGGACACAACTCAACTTCAGGACTCTGTATACACCGTTGGCCGGGTGTAGAGGCAAGCGTGCCTAGAAATGTGTGTTGTGCAGACCCAGGCTGGGGGGTCAAATTGCAATTGCACTGGCATGTCGGCACGAGAAAGTTGGGAGGCCTGCTACAATTCACTCCAGTGAGCTTTTTTATTGCCCACGTCATTCTGGGTTTGCTGTTCTTGTGAGGCTGTCATCCTGCCTGCTGCTCTGCCTCGGTGGAGTGGCGCCAAAGGCGGAGTTGGGTGCACCCGCCGTGAACTGACACCCTAATTAACTGTCCTAACCCAAGTGTGATTTTTGTGGAGTGGTGGCTAACTAAGGGGTATGTGTGTGTGGACATACACTGCTACAACAACAACAACAACAGCTACTACTACTACTACTACTACTACTACTACTACTACTACTACTACTACTACTACTACTACTACTACTACTACTAGGACGACGACTTCTACAAATAGCTTCTACTATGACAACACCTACTTCTGAGCTGCAGACATCGAAAACTTGCCTTTACCAAGCAGTGCTCCTACCCAGCAAGTTATGTGGTGTCTGTGCTGGGGAGATTTAAGAAAGCCTTGCTTGAGTCTCCCAAGCACGGACACAACTCAACTTCAGGACTCTGTATACACCGTTGGCCGGGTGTAGAGGCAAGTGTGCCTAGAAATGTGTGTTGTGCAGACCCAGGCTGCCATCACGGGTCAACAAGCCTTATATAGAAGGACGCTGGTGGGATAAGGACGCTGGCCCATATAAGGTCGATCGCATTTTTGCCTTTTGAATCAAAAAGTTTCACGGACGAACGAAACGCGATCAAAAGATTTCTGAGATGTGCAATTTGCCTTTGAAATGTTTGGATTGCACACCACTGGCTACAAAAAAGTCGGGATCACGTGCGAAATGGGCTACACACCCGAAGCAGTCATGAGCATCAGTGCGATCATGTTCGGTTTCTTATAAGAATCTAGCTCCTAGATTGCAATTCCGGGACCTGATTGTATAGCTCGAGGAGTGATTCGCCAAAAATTGGGGCAAGCTGTCGGGGGATTCAGTGTGACATCGGTGTTCTAATACTGTGCATTAATCGACTTATAATGGGATAGAATAATAGGTGTGTTACACGTTCGCGTGTGATGGCCAGCACTCACAGCCGGTACGCCTCGAAGATTCAGGCATACACCGAGTTTGTCGTCGACAATTAATGCAATCCTTAAAGATGTGCGCGTGTGTCTAAAATAGTGTTGATATTTGTATAGCTATAAAAAATGTATGGTTGAAAAGAAGTATCTGTATATATATATATACACATATATATATATATACATATGTATACCACGCATTGTGACATATAAATTCGGAGAAATTATGTAGCCATGGACTCCGGCCATCTGCATGCTGGAAGCTGGCGGACGATGACGTGAGCACATGCTGCATCCGATCTGCATGCAGACGATCTGTTTGTTTTACTGTCTCTGCCAGCGAAGTCCCATCTGCACAGTATATCGCAGCAGCACATTCTGTGACATATTGCGCACATCAGATTTCGAAGCCAGACTCTTAATCCGACGGATAGCGTCTTCCCCAAGATAGTTGCTGAAGTATCTTGGGTTGCGGGGCTTCCAATCCAATACGCAGTGCTCCAATAAATGGAGTTTGGGCCTAAAGTGGTATCTCGGTAGCACTCGAGCTATTGCACTTCGTGCAAGCTCGTTGTACGCAAAACGAAGCATCAGGTAGCAATCCTCGAACTGCTGTGCGGCCGCATTGCCGAAGAAGCGACTTGGATGCATACACTGCCATGAAAAATTTAAATTCGCAACATAGTGCTGACTGAGTGCCCGTTGTGTATCATCAGCATCTCCATATCTCGAAAAGCCGTGGCAGCTGCCAGCAAGTGCCTGGGTGCATGCACGCTCATGTATGCTGAAAGTTTAAGTCTACAAAACACATGCATATAAGGTATGTTCCAAGTTGCTCCAAGATAGAAGTCGGTGCGATCTGCTCGCACACCGTTGTCAAGAAAGTGCATGCCCATAGCAGCATATATCTGCAAGCCGTCGCAGAAAGAATTCTCTGCGAAACCTCGATATTCTTGTTGTTGCGCAGAACTGCTGTTGTAAACATGCGTCTGCTGGCGCGATCACCAAGTATCTGAGAGGCTTCAGCCCAGGATCTGTAATCTTTCCACAACAAATCCAGCCGCTTTTCTCGCGATGCGCCCGGCAATATCGTAGTGTCGTCAGTAACCTCCAGCAACATGCTGCCGAGAAAATCAACAGCCACTGCCAAGTGTACCATATGCATGTAGTCAGGTAGCAGTCCTGATGGGTCCATGTCAAAGGTTTTGTTAACTGTTCTCTAAACATCAAGTGTAACAGTGCTTATATAGCCAAGATTCTGGAGGGACCAAACCCAATAATCTTAGTCAATGGAGATTCTCCGTGTGCTTCGATGAAGTCCTCCTTGGTCAAGATCATAGTGCTGCGGTGGAGGGCGTCATGCCCGAAGCAGGAATAAAGCAGCTCCACGTTGTTGGGTTCCCCCGGCTTGGCTACAGCATTGATCCACTGGATTGCCGAACAGAAATGACATGTCATCTTCTTGTTGTAGAAGCCTTAAAGTTGGATCTCACCCGAAATATATTAAGGGATTGAAATTCAGGTATAGGGTCCTGTTGCGGATGAGAAACGATGCAGGCCCATAGCAAGCTTGTGGTATTCCCAATCGGCTTGAAACCCATCAAAGATGCAGATATAATCGCCGCAGATTCGTGTGCCTGCCACTTTTGCCCTTTCGGGCATGTAGCCCGGCCCGAGCTCCTTCCCGAAAGCGTCGCAGCGAGGGTGGACACCCGAGCCTCAAGATTTTGCAAGAGTTTGTAGGTGTGCCGTTAGCAAATTTATTGCGCTAGCAAGATAGTCGAGTGGCTCAGGCAATTAAAGCTCCATGCTATAATGGTCAGCAGCTTGTCCCGCGCAGCCGTGCTGCAGTAGGTGGCATTCATACATGATAGCCTGGGTGTGGCCCACGTAATTCGGGGCTTATGTGCATCGCTCCATGTTGATTCGACCCGAGGTTATAATTTGCGCGTCGAGACACAGGAACCGGGTGTTCAAGGTGGACGTCTCAGCTTCAGTCTTTGGGACCGTCACGAGGGTCAAAATCTCGAATTTTTGTCTACCTTAGTATGTGTGCATGATACATCGACCTCATGAAGTATGTCACTCATGCTTGCGTGATGATTTGGCTGAGAAGCGATAAGCATCTGCGCCGTCACCATAAAGCCGTAGCGGCACCACGTAATCGAGATTGCAATCGGGGTCCTGCATGCAGACAGACCACACCAAGATCAGCAAACTCCCCACCCAATTCGGCCCAGCTGCATCGAAGGCGGGGTGCGGCTTCACAAACGCGCTCGTGGCTGCCAGCTCCTCTTCCCAATATGAACGAAGAGCCTGAGCTGCATGTGCATTGCAAGCCTGGGATGAAGATGTCGGTGCATGAGCATGCTTGTTCGACTAAGAGGCCCCTGGGGGTCCTGTAAGAAGTGAGAACAGGTGTTCTCGTTGGTAGAATGATGCCACCATCTCGTGGGGGAGGTACATCTCGTGCTTGATGGTGGTCCTGTGTTCGCCCCGGGCATCAATGTACTCCTGAGAACAACTAAGTCATGGCCATGTTTGCTAGAATGTGTGTTAAAATATGAAACATTGCATGCGTCCCAGCCGCCATTGGCACATCCAGCTGGAAAGCTTGAGGCAAGGCTGCTCCTGGGATCACGCAGGACTAATCTAGATCAGTTTCGATCAGAGGGCATGCGCTGTAAGTTTAGATTGTGTGTGGATTGATTGATTGCCGGGCTTCTCCAGTCTTGTTTCTTGAGCCATCTCGCGATACAGCGACCACTCCCATAAGACTGGCAGGAGTCCAGAGCATCCAAAAGTTCCAGCGTATCCTGCCTGAGATGCATGAAACTGACAACTTCAGAAAATCATCGCTCCATGCGACTCAATTGCGACGGGGCAGCGGAATCAAGCTATGAGGCAGCTCGCGCAGTCGGCCTGCAAGTGCTGGGCAGCAGCTGCAATCCAGTTAAACGTGCTAGCTGCTAGCTGCTGCTAGCTGTTATGTTGTAAGACCGCAATACAACAGCCTGGCCTAGAGATTTCCGTAGTCTGCTCAGATTGGCCTGCAATCCAAGTGTGCAGTTATAAAGACACAGACGACAGCATGCATGGTGGCACCTCCCCAGACCCGAACATCTCCCAGGCATCATGGATCGTCTGGTCCACATACTCCTTCATGCTGAAACCTGGATTCGCCCTCAGTTTGGACTCCATGGCGGCAACGCTTCTGCATCATGAAGCTGGGACCTTCAGGTTCTTCTGGGGCTTTGGTTCAATCGTCAGCATGGTTTGGGGTTCAGGGGTTTGTGTCAGTTCAGGGTCTTGGGATTCAAGGGTTTGCGTCGGTTGTTGGGGTTTTAAGATAAGGGTATATAGAGCTTATAAAGGATTGGCGGGCAGTGACTTTGATTTCCAAATCATGATCGAGCCATGTTCTACCGAATTGGCACATGTGTACATTTACATGCACTCTCGATACAGACGCTTGCATGCCTCCAATCTTGCGGAATGCCGAGCAACTTTTGGCTTCCCCGGTGTCGGTGTTTGAAACTGAAATCGCTGCATGCTACAGGTCAGGTTCGAGACGGCAGAACATGCAGGTTTTGCAGGTCGACCTAGGTTGCAGTCATTCATCGAAGCATGACAATGACAGCCATCCCCGACCCATCTAGCATCTACAGCTGCCGATCTGGATAGTTCGGCTCCCAGAGCACTGCATTTGCAGTGCCACATCTTAGGCGCGGCGGGCTCGTTTGGCCGGCGCTGCGGCAGCTGAGGAATCCCACGCTTCGGTGTCCCAGCTGCTTTCGTACTCAGCATCCGTAGCACCGCCATCTTTGACAGCTGCCTTTTCTGCTTTCTTTCTCTCTGAGTTCAAGCCTGCAGCATGCTCGTATTGCAGTGTAGATCGAGACTCGAGTCAGCTAGCTTGCATGCATGCAAATACCGAAGACTGTAAGTGCATTTAAGAAGCGGCGATAGTGGCCGGCAACGATATCCTCTGCTGAGAGGACGGCCTTGTTGGCGGCCTCGATCCGTGCTGGCACGTGCTGGAATACATCATCCGAAGGGGCCAAATCTGCATATATCGAGGGTTTGATAATCTACTAGGCTTGGGGCAACTAATCGGGCTTAAGACCCAACCTCGATCTCGGCTCGTTTCTCCTCCACCTTCTGGTAAACATACTCATCCTCGTACCCTGCGAAGACGCATTCGTTGATCCTGGAGGCACATGCATGCAATGCATAAGAAAGACATCTACATGGAGTGGACTATATATAGGTGGTCTGAATCGGATTAGATCGAGCGAGGCACTCTGCATGAATCCTCATGGTTTCTTGGTGCACGTCTTGCATGTGCTTGATGTTGGCCTGCAGCACCGATCGTTGAACATGCAACGGAATTAACTCAGTGGTTCTCCTGATTTCGGGCGTGAATGCACGGGTCTAGAAGTTCTTGCGGGTTTGTATTGCATAAGGGATTGTGGTTTCTTGATGCTGTGAACTACGCGAACTAGAATATAAATGTGGGCCACTACACTGGACCTTGAATTGTATATCAGACTACCGCTGCGGATTCTAGATAATCTGCGGTAGAATGCTACATGTCTTGAAGCAATTAATCAGGATCCAGGCCTCCTGGCGCTCCAGACCCGAACGTGTAAGGTTCTGGGCCACTGTTCTTGCTTTGGCAGCCAAGGACAATATCCTGGACAACGTGGAGCTGCCCTATAGCTGTTGCATGCTGACAACAGAAGTTCGCACATGGCTGCTCGGCAAGCGTCTGGCTCATCGTCTTATCAAAATCACGTTTCCTCACTTCTTCATCCGTCAGAACCTGCGAAGCGAAGTGATGCTGTATGAGCATTCCAGACAGGACTGCAGAATTTGTATGGAATTAGTGTTATTGAGTGGTGTACATCTCACAGTGAAAACATGCTGTCCTTGGGCTCTTTTGTAGCTTTCTTATTCCCCTTGTCGTCCAGACCCTTCACAAAGTCGGCAGCTTGGGAAGTCATGATCTCCCCGAGCTTCTTTTTCGTGGTTTCGTCGGCTTTTCCGATCCGCTTCCTGGCTGTGGTCTTTGTGCCCACCTTGTTCACGTTTGCACCTTGGTCGTCGTGTCTCTTCTGGGTTCGCTCCCTCTTCTCTCTCTCCCTCTCTCTCGCTCACTCTCTCTCTCGCTCACTCTCTCTCTCTCTCTCTCTCTCTCTCTCTCTCTCTCTCTCTCTCTCTCTCTCTCTCTCTCTCTCTCTCTCTCTCTCTCTCTCTCTCTCTCTCTCTCTCTCTCTCTCTCTCTCTCTCTCCCTCTCTCCCTCTCTCTCTCGTGGTTCTTCATGTCATTTCTAGATATCTCTAGATATCTAGATATTCAAGTATGAAGACATCTCTGAATTCGTCACAGCTGCTGATCTCCTTTCCGTACTCATACACCTTATACAACCTCCAGGAGGCACTGCCTTTTGCTTGCGGATGCTCCCGCCCAGACTGTTTCGCCAGGATATCTTCTTGAAGAAAGCGTCGGCCTTCTTCTGTATCCCCGTATTTCTTCTCTAGTTCGTGAAGAGGGAGTTCGATGTAGTGGCCTTCGTTCCGCTTCTCCGAATACCTGAGATAGATCTTGAAAGAATGCAACCGCGATCGTGTGAACTCTGATACTCAGTAGATGTGGATCACAGCAAATGATCAATGCTGCCCGAGCACTCGCTGTAGATCGCTTCGATGTGCATATCGCCCATATTCGGGTCAAGCATAAATGCCTTTAAAAATTCGAACCTTAAGGATGTTCCAGGGTCAGATAGTCACAATTAATGGATTCAATATGGATAGCGATCTCATTGCATGCGTAGCTTGTTACTATCCGAGAAGCTTCCCTGTGGTGCTCCTGGTTGCTTCCCACTTTTCGAGTAGTCCCGGGGGGAGTCCTGCGTGGAAGTCTCTATATGCTGTTTGACAATCATGAACGACCACTGCAGCACTGCTCTCCTTCAGGCTTTTCCATGCGCCGCTTCATGGCCTCGCGCTGCCGGCGACGTTCCCCGGCGTCCATCTGGTTGGGGTGTGTCATGGCCTGCGTGCAATCTTTGGGCTTGCTTTCGCGGTAGAGATAATGTGGGCTCTCTGGCTCTCTGTCCTGGATCGATTGCCGGGTCGCTTCGTCCAAGACTCTGACCTATAGCTGGGATTCATGGCAGGAGGGGTGCATGCATGCAACACATGCACCGAAATAGGTATAGGGTCCGTGCCCTCCTCACCTTGCCGTCATCGTCCCGCACGCCCACCGGGCTGATTGAGGACTTCTCCGACTGGACGCTGATGCTGGAGGGCGCCCGCAGGATGGATTTCCTGACCCGTGTCTGTGAACTAGCTGTCGCACACTAACACACACACATACACACGCACACACATATATATGCACGAGCGGATCATGTGCAACCAGGGGGCGGCTTGGGGTAGGAAGCCGGAGCAGGCGGGTCGGCAGCACCCACATCCATACCCTCATCATCCGGATACCCCGAAGTCGGTATCCCTTCATCATCATCATCAGCCCACTCCTCACCCTGATCGGCGTCACCGGACTCCTGGCCCTCCTGATCACCTTCTTCATCCCAGCTTTGATCCTCGTCTTCATCGCCAGCATCATCAGGATCAGGTTGTTCCTCCTCATCTTCCTCTAGGTCCGCCTCCTCGCCCTCCTCTCCCTCATGGGCCTCCTCGACTTCGGTAGAAGGCTCCAAAGCCCTGCACAGAAACCAAGTTTCAATCTTTCTCTGGTCTTTCTCTTTGTCTCTCACACCTTAAACCCACCTAAGCCACCCACCCAGCCACCAGCCGAGAGCCGAGACGAAGAGAGAGAGAGAGAGAGAGAGAGAGAGAGAGAGAGAGAGAGAGAGAGAGAGACAGAGTTTTACCCCCCTACACCATAGCCCTAGACGACACGAAAGAAAGAGAGAGGGAGGGAGGGATGGAGGGAGGGAGGAGATAGAGAGAGAAGAGAGCAGAAACAGCAGTCACAACACGACATGTTCGTGCGTGCATGAGCAACTATAAACCCCCACGAGTGCATTAAGCTGGGCACCTTGGAGAACATCCAGCAGAAACTTGTTGTGATGCATGAGCTGCGCTGCTGGTGCTTTCCCCCATGCCGTTGTGTGGGTCGGGTGGTGCTGGGCCTGCCAGTTCTTGAACATATCGAACATGCTTTTGTTGTTGGCTATGCTTCTTAGGCGTTGCTGACACAGCCTTGGTTGTTTGGCCTGCATGTTGGACAACTCGCCGAGAACACAAGTGGGTAGCACAACGCAGGGGTTCTGGAAGTCTGAGTCTGCAATCTCTGCCCTATTGGTCATGTCGTGTATGCTCAGCTGCCAGTGCTGATCCTCGTCGTGGTCATGCTCCGTGTTGCACAGCTCCGCGGCTTCCTCGTGGACGGCCTTCAACAAGGCTCTTGTCTCACCCTTCCCGGCCCCAGAAAAAGCCGTGCCCTTGTGGCCCTTGTTGCCAGCTGTGCCAGATCCCTTTGGGTGCTCATGTGCTCCTGCGCTCTTGGTGGATCCCTTCGCTGCATCTTTGCCTTTGCTCTGCTTGCCGGATCCCTTTGGGTCTGCTGGTCCTGCGCTCTTGGTGGATCCCTTCAGCTCGCCATTGCCTTTGCTTTGCTTGCCGGATCCCTTTGAGGGGTTGGGGTGCTCCTCTGGCCCTGCGCTCTTGGTGGATCCCTTCGCTGCATCTTTGCCTTTGCTCTGCTTGCCGGATCCCTTTGGGGTGGGGTGCTCCTCTGGTCCTGCGCTGCCGGATCCCTGGCTTCTGCCTTTGCTTTGCTTGCCGCCTCCCTTTGGCGGGTGCTCCTCTGGTTATGGTCGTTGCGTCTGGGACGGGGTTCGGGAACCATAACGAGGGTTCAGGGTAGGTTCAGCCCCCAGACCATGGATTTCAACGTTTTTGTACCGTCCGTTTGAAGCCTGTCATTTCTGGCTTTGGGCCTCCCCGGCTGTCAAAATTAGTTGATTAGTTCAAAGTTGAGAAGCTCAAAGACCACTGTTTTTTTAAAAACCATTTTTTGTTCTAGTTTGCAACTGGGCTGCTAGTGGTTTGGCCCGAATAGGTGCTCATGTGCAATTTCCATGTATGCCTGAGAGGTACAACTGCTGCAAAATACACATTGTCACCTTAAACCCTATACCCTAAACAAAGCACGGCAAAACGGCTTCAACAACACGTTCGAATGTCGGCCATGGCATGCAAAAGCACGACAAAACAGCTTCAACAACACGTTCAAGGTTTAGGATTTAAGGTTAGGGATGCCATGACCGACTTCTTAGAGCTGCCTACTACTTTCGGGTTGTCTCGGAGCGGCCGGAACGAGGACCGTAGCAAGAACACGCACAAGCTGCCGAAATGGCTGCTTCTGTACGTGGTCACACCAGAGGCTGTCGGCCACGATGCAGAAGTGCGTTTGGCTTGCAGAGCCACACGGGTCGTGGAGCACGTTGGCGAAATGAAGCCAACGGATGCCCACGAATGCCAGATTTGGTTTAACAACGGCGTCAAAAAGAGACAACGAAAGGGTGAGGTCTCGAAAACACAAAGCATGTCTTTTTGTGCCTGGAAGCTTGACAGAGTCTTCAGGTTCCGGGATCCTGTGTGTGTAGAACGATCACAAATTGCTGGGAGACAATTGCAAAAAGTCAGCAACGTCAGTGCGGATATTTGGCATCTGTGCACGGCTTCGAAGGGCTGCCAACTGATGCCATCTCTTCCCGATGAGAAACGGTTTTCAGACTTGTCTCCGGCGAAAGGGTGGCTTGTGCAAGTTCCAGGGCTTATGGCGTTGCTTGGCTGTGACACCATGCCCTCCGACCCAATCTTGTGGACCCCAGCATCTGTGGCAGCCAGCCTGCATGTCACTGTTGAGAAGGAGTCACCTTCTCTTCTTGAGGCAGCAGAAGCTGAGGCCGAAGCTGGAGCAGCTCTAGCAGGGCGGGTCGCGGGCCTGAGCCTGCAACCGATACAGGAAATCCACACCATCCGATTGACTTTTGCGCTTCAGAATAGCTCAGATCTTCCTGTAGTTGTGAACTCAGTGACTCGGTTTTTAGGCCCCTTCATAGGGGACCCGGATCCGACAAAGCTAGCAGCAGCGATGGCCTCTATTCCCGGGCGTTACAAGCTTCGCTCCGGGATGCTTAAACTAGACATGTTGCACATGCTTTTCAGGCGAAGCGTCATGCAACAAGGCCTCACTCAGCAGATGCGCACAGCCCGATACCTCAGCATGGATGCTTCACCTCAAGGCGGGTATGAGTACTTGTGTATGACGGAGGAGGTAATGGAACGTAGTCAACCCGTCGTCCTCCCCGAGTGTCCATTCAGCGGCTTCACCTACACACAGAGATTAATGCCCATCATGACATTAGCGAGGGGAGAGACTAGGACATTCGTCAAGGCACAGAGGCTGAAGCATGCAATCTGCTTGGAGAGTTCCATGAAGCATCTGGATTTGTACAGGTCACAAGTGAAGGGGTGGGTGAGTGATCAAGGAACAGAGAAAGCTGTGCCTCAGACATTTCTCGGTGATTCTGCACATTTGCAAGATATGACTTCCAGCTTGCAAGATGGTAGCCCCACTTTGGAGGCGATGCTGGCATCCAGCAAGCAATCGTTTCTTTGGAACAGTTTGCGGCACCCCGGGTATCTTCACATCATGTTCAATGCCTTAGAAGAAACTTGCAAAGGCTGCCCTCGATGGGAGGTTTTTGAAAAGCAGCTGAGCAGTGTTTCCAAACTGCTGACGAATCGCTCCTATCGCGAGATAGTCTTGTATCGCATGATGTCTGAGGCTACTCAGCAAGAGAAGCAGACAGTGCAAGGCTACCACGGCGAACTCCTATCATGGAGATGGGAGAGCTTGCATCATACATTGCGGCATTATGTGCACGTGCGACCGGTTCTGCAGAAGTACCTGAACCCCGAAATGCTTTCTTCGGAGGCCGGTTTCATAGACCACCTGAGTGCTTTTTTGTCGGATCCATGGCACCAGGGCTACGTAGAGTGGGCATTGATGTTTTCCGGGTTTGTGCAGACGTGGGCCCATTGGCTTGAAGGTTGTTTCTGCCACGAGGAACAGCTTCAGCAAGCCAAGACTCGCAAGGCCCGGGACAAACTGAAGTGTCCATGGAAGGGTCGCCGTACTTCCGTGCTCATTGCTGGGTGCAAGGATCGGATGTTGCAAGCTTTGCAAAGTCACGGAAGTGCTCGCTTCACAGAGGCCATGCTCGAGTTGCCGCAGGAGGTTTCAGCCGCCATGGTTCTGATGAACTCCCAAGCTCGAGACAAGTGGTCAGCTGTGCTGTCACAGAAGACGTCTTACCTTGATCATGTGCCGCACAAGTTGGCCGGTGCTTTCGCTCACCTCGCCGATCCTGGTCGCTACTCTTTGTCAGGAAGCAAGCGCATTGTGCAGGAATGCTTTGCAGAGTATGCGACTTTGAAGTCCCAAGGGCGAACAACCGCTCTCCTTTCAGGCCTTTTTGAGCGAAGTGGGATGGGCGAGACGGCGGACCAGCTGTGGGCATATGCCAACAGCCCAGACACCAAACAGCTGAGAGACTTCCCCTTGGCTTGGGTGGAGGTTCAGGAAAGGGCCTTTTGCACGAATGTAGAGCGGATGACGGAACGGCAACACGTCTTGGTTAAGATAGCAGGCCACAGGACTTTGAGGTTCGCAGGCCCTGCCATTACCTGTGTGCGTGCCCGGCGAGATCAGCTGCAGCAAATGATCGACGACCCCCAAATGTGTGCTTTCTTGGTTTCGAACTGGCGACGTCGTACCATTTTCAGAGAACTGCTTGAACACGTGATGAGTGCCAAGGATTGCAATAAATCCAGCTTTGCTCATCGTGTGAGCCGTATCTACGGCTACGACGAAAAAGACCATTTCCTTGATGAAATGGAAGAGGAAGAGAAGTCTGGGTTGGCCCTGGGGAATGCCGTGGCGGGGGCATTGAGAGACGTGGGTTCTGTGAGACCTGACTTGGAGAAGCAACAGTGGATGATTGTTGATTTCATCAAGAGCCAACTCCCCACTGGCACCGTGTTCTCTCTTCCTGAGTTCCTGTTGGGGAGTCTGCTCGGCGAACCGCTGCCGGAGTCTCAGGAACAACACGGTCCTCTGGACTTGGAGGGCTTTGCCGATTCATTGTTGCCAGGGGACATTCCAGAGCTTGTTGCTAGAGAACATGTCTTTTGCTCTGTGCTGGATGCTTGGCCAGAGCGACGGACCGAGGTGCAGACTCTGACAGCCATTGGTAACGACCGCAAGGGGCACATGAACGTCGTTCATTTTTTGAATGTGAATCTTAGCAATGCTTCACAGCCTGTGGTGTCCTATAAAAATGTGCAACATCGAACCCTGGATTTCAGTCATGTTGCGACACTGCCCTTTCTGAAGCTCTTCTCGTCATTGTGCCACGTTTGGGGTCCTCGCTGCACGTCCTTCAAGGTGGAGGTGCTGCCACTGAGGGACCAGGCAGCAAGGATGTTGTCTGAACCGCCTCTGACCTTGCCGCACTTCACGACCGACGACGACATGCTGGCCGATCTAGCCGGGCAAGCAATCGAAGACCAGGAGTTGCGTCTCCGTGAGCCAGGCGATGGCCCAGACGTGGGAGCTGGGCTGTCCAGTCCCCAGGAGGAGAGCATGCTGAACCAGTTGTTGAAACACAGGGCTATAGGGGATAAGTTCGTCGAGTCTTCTACCTTGAAAGAGTACCACGGCCGAGCTGTTCAGAGCTTGGTTGAGAAGGGAGTAGTGCAGGTTCGGTGGGATGATTTCGGCGAGTCATCTCTGGCTATCAGCAGCGATATGAACTTGTCCACGTTGCTGCTCTTGACAGAGCCTGAAGTTTTCGCTGTTCACAAGCAAGACCTGAGCAACCCTGCAGGCCGTAACAAGGTCGGATGGTTGAGAGGACTCTTGGTCAAATCTTGGAAGCCTACGGGCAAAGACAAAGATCCAGAGTGGAGAGTCAAGGGCAGCCGGAAGCTGCTGCCTGCCAACCTTCTGGATTCCTGTGAGCCTCACCTTGTTTGTTTGGCACTGGAAGACAGCATTTGGCAGAAGCCTGGCGATCTGCGAAGGATCTGTCATGGCGGCAGTGCTGACTACTACCAGATGCTACTAAAAGCACCGGACTTGACAGGTGTCCAGGAATGGACAGTGCAGCAGTGCCGTGAGTTTCGGGACAAGAAACGAAAGGCAACACGTAGTGCTCCACGTCATACTGGCAGCAGGGCGAAAGCAAGCACCCAAGAGCCATTGCGACTCGCTCTGGAGCTTCCCGTTGAGCCTCGCGTGAAATGCCGGGTGGCGGGGCTCGAAGATCTCGTCATCTATTTTGACAATTTCACACACCAGAGCGGCCACCGTCGTGCTTTCTGCCAGTGTTTGCAGCATGCCGATTGCAGACGATACACCTTTGTGAAAAATCACAGGGACCAGGATGAGGCAGTTGCGTGGCTCTTAGCATGGGCTTCCCATGGGCCCCGTTTCGATGATGCAGAACAGCATGTGAAACACAACCCCAGTGACACTGCTGTGCAATCCATGGAGGAAAGGCAGCGGTTGGGGGTCTGACCCGGCAGACTGCTACCAGTCTGAGGGGTCACAGCCTGTCAGGTTCGCCTTCGGCAGATTCTCAGAGCCGGTCGTTCTGTAAACGAAGAGAAAGAGAGTAGTGACTGCTTGCAGCCCGAGAGTCTAGGTTTTGAGCGGAGTTTGACAACAGCATATCTTGTCTGAGCCTTTTGTTTGTCTTGTCATTTATTTCTCAGAGATTCTCGGACACCCAGAGCCTCCCAAAAACAGTGCGTTTGTGTGGGCCCGAAAACCCCAGTGCTTCTGTATGGGTCTGGGTAGGGTCTGTGCCT